TAGGAGTGCAGTGTCCGTTCTTACAGTGTCTGGAACAAGCTGTCATCAGCAGCTCTGGAGGCTCCACCTGACGTTGGCACTCCTTCGGGGCAAGAGGCCTGAACAGTTGTTAGAAGCAGGGAAAGTCAATATGTGGGGGACACAAGCATCATGTGGCATGCAAACAAATTACAGAAAGGAGGGCTTTAATATTATTGCTTAATGTCTTCCGATAAAGTCACACCCCGATGAAGTAATGATTCTCCATAATTATGACACAACAGCAGTCTCAATCTCATTGTACAACTGTTGGTCATCATTCTACTTGTCTAATAAGCCTTGAATACTAAAAATGAACACTGTCTCTAAGGCTGCAGGGTGAAGTCATGCCTTCATTATTTTAAACTAGGTTAGAATCTGACCTTACATACAATAATAATGACAGAAGCACACAAACTGGTTCTTGAATCCTTACAATATGAATCCTTAAAAACCTCTGAGTCTCTTTTAGTTAGTTTGGGGGAAAGCAGATACATCCAATAATAATGGAATAGAATCAACTTTATTGTAAAACATATAGTGAATGAAATTTTTCCTCTGCATTAAGCGCTAGGAGCAGTGGACAGCCACCGTACAGCCTCCCGGGGACCAACTCCAGATCTACGCCAGCGTCATGGGCGAGGGAACTGACTGGAAAAATTAACCTAATATACGTGTTTTTGATGGTGGGGAGAGACTGTGGAGAACATGTAAACCCCACACAGAAAGGCCCTGCCTCCAGCTGGTGACCAAAGCCAAAACCCTTCTTTCTGTGAGGCAACAGTGCCAACCACGGAGCCACCGTGCTGTACTGGAAACAATTATGGATGTAAACAGGGTCATATTGATTTATCGAAGTGCGGTGTAAAGGTGTATAGTTAATTAAGTCAGTGTTTGGATGATTTCATGTCATGTGACAAGATATGTATAAATTCCACCTACTTCTCAGAATTTTGGGCAGTTAAACCACAACGCTAATCAGCTCTGTATTTGTTCTGTGCTCAGCTGCTGTGCCAAGTGGATAAATTGGCAGGGTTGTTATGACCAAAACAGAAATGCCTTCTCCAGGGTCTGCAGGTTGTTTGATTGAACAGTAATGGATGGTTTCCTTTTCCTTATGTCTGCTTTTAGGCGCACTGCATTAAATGAGTCTGTTTAGAAGTTTGAGACTTTTAGTGAGAAGTCACACCCACCAACACACATCAGTTCTTATGTGCCAGATCACAGTTTCCACACAGTTGCGTGCAAATTCCATTCATAACTTTTTTAAAATATCCTGCTAACAGATAAACAAAAAGCAGGCAAAAACAAAACACTCATCCAACTCTTATTGGCGGAGGTACACAGTAATACTATACTATGATTTGTGGACTGTATGAAACATGTTCGATTTAAGCTCTTCATTTTTATCTGTTATGATAGCCGTATCCATTTGTTTACTGCAAATCTATTTTTTTTCTAATTGTGCAACAAGAATCAACAAATCTGCCAGCACATGTTGTGTCTATAATCTCAGATGATAAGCAGGCTTTCAGCTTTGGTTGACATGTATCCTCAGTGGGATAGCACATTAAGATGTATTTGTTTTTTTTTACCTCTATAGCTAGTGATCTCTATGTAGATTTTTTTCCCTTTTCAATTGTCCATAATGAATCTGCTGTCTGAGATGGATTTTTACTGTACAGCTGGGACAATACCCGTGTCAAGTGTGGTGCTTTTATTGTTTTGACTCCTAAAACAACACATAGGGTTAACATAGGGTTCCCGCAGATATAAACATGATTTGGAAAATGCAGACACATACAAACACAAACATCTCCACACCATATGCGTGAAGTCTGAGCACCAAAGAAACATATTGTGATCATTCCATATTAAGACAAACATCCAGACACGCACATCAGCAAATGGGCTGAAACAGAATTATTTCATATCACGCTCTACAAATCTGGAAATAATACAGCGAGTGCGTAATCAAGTTCAAATGTGAAGCGTCTGTTAGCGCCTGTAGCCCACTAGCCCACACACACACACACACACACACACACACACACACACTTTCTCTATTTCTCTTTCACAAATGCACACGCAGACAATTGTCTAAAATATAGATGTGTAAACAGTTCTGTTGTACCGGGGTAAAAAGCTACTCACAAACACTCACAAACTTTTACACACAGGCATGGTAACTAGACTCCTGTGGACTGATGCTGATATGAGAGCTGCAAAGCATGAGTAGTGAGGTGTGTGTGTGTGTGTGTGTGTGTGTGTGTGTGTGTGTTGTAATGCTTAGTCCAAGGCAGAACAGGCCTCATCAATCATGGCTGGAGAGCAAATCGTCAATCAGCAGTAGAAACTAAAACTAGATAGAGTTTAAGACCTATAACCAGGTTGGCAGTCGGTATATTAAATCTGAAATCAGCAATATTTTAACTCTGCATTCACTCTTAAATACTCTCAGTATTCTGCTGTGGGGAATGTTGATCGGGTTTGTCAAGTCTCACCTGTACAGGGTTGACTGTGTGGGAAGATAACACATTTCAGCTGTGAGTCAAAAACTGGTTAATTTACTGTAACTGTGATGTTGTGTGACGATAATTGTATTTATTTGACTGTGCCAGTGTTTACTTCCTAGTTTGAAAAATGTGTTGCAAATGTTCTGACAGACACCCTGACTGATGGCAGTGTGCAGTGACAATACAGTGTGTGTGTGTGTGTTAAAGTTGCTTTAAATTTGGAGGATGGAGGGCAGGGGGGGTTGATTCCCATGCTCCCATCAGCACCCAACTCCAGACTCCATCCACGCTGGCTTTTGTTGTTGCAGGCTGCATGTAGTTAAAAAAGAGCGAAGGAGGGAAGCAAACAGAAAGAGAAGGAGAGAGAGAAAGAGTAAGAGTCCCTGGAGGATTGGGGGGTCTGTAGCTAACACTGTTAATAGCAGGCAGGGGTCAGCAGTGCTACTAAACAGTCTGTACGACTGCCAGGGTGGCTGTGAAAACAGCACCTGCTGGTAGCGCCACTTGACAAAGGCAGCTGGGTCAACAGCCACTGTGGGAATTTATCAACTTTGGGAGGGGTGGTGTATGTGTGAGAGCGAGGGAGTGGGAGAAGGGCGACAGTGCTCACACATGAAGTAGTTGCATGAACAGAGAGAGATGATGATGACGATACAAATCATAAAGCTGCTTAAAACGCAGATCAAGTCATAATTAAAATGACAACAGAAGAGCAAAGACATACTAGCTGCCTCAAAGATAAGGAAGAGTAATGCAGGTTAAGTCGTTCTGTGCTAAAAACTGCCCTTTCCTTCTCTCCTTACGTCGAGGAAGCTGAACATTAACATATCTTAACATCCATTCAGGTCTGTGCCATCGGAGCAGTGTGGATGCTCTGCTTCAGATTTGTTCCTGATCTGTTTGATTATTATGTTTGTCAGAGTGTGTGTGTGTGTGTGTGTGTGTGTGTGTGTTTAGCTTGTTGGCTCACAGGGCCTGGTTGATTGACATGAGGTATATGTGAGAAAAGGTCTGTGGAGTGGTGTACATTGTGCACCCTAACAATGGCTTAATCAAACGGCCCAGTGTGGTCTCTTTTGCTGTTTTGTCATCCGACTCCATTGTTTGGGGGCTTCTTTTGTAGCTTCATTCCTTGTTTTAATTGTGCAAGAAATTTACTGTGTATTGTAGGAGCCAGGGCTATTCAGTGCGACTGGCAAGCAGCTTTGTCAAGGGGAGGACCACAGCAGAGATGTAGGAAGATTTAGGAGGGATAGGAAAATAAAGAAAAGGCTTTTTCTGCAGCGTGCTGGGAGCTAGCGTACCACACGCTCACACAGGCTCACAGATGTGCATGTTCGCTTGTACCCACCACCCACACAGTTTATATCTGTACACACAAAACACAGAGAGACACACATACAGATAAATATATCCACAAACGGGCACCCGCAGTCTCCTTCCCCCGTGCATGCAGTGATTTGTGACTTCCATGGCTAATGCAGTTCATAAAGGAGGTCCCAGGACCCTATTCGAGGTTCACTGTGTCTTTTTAAGGTCTCTGCTCACTGTAATTCAATCAGTCCAGCCTGCAGCTGACAAAACCTGAACGTGTGAAAAGTCTCCCTTCTTCTCTGCGGAGAAGGGGCTGTAACAAACTGAGCAGCAAATTACATTTTACACCAGAAATCAGCAGGAGGTCTGGCTCTATATGTTTCAATTAAGCTATTGCCAACGACCAACTGTAAGAGCAAGGCTGATTTTGTCCAACTGCATGGATGGACTCAACATGTGCCTTTTTTATCATGATATAACAAACATGTAACTTTACTCTTTGACTCCCATGGCATATTGTGTATACACAGGGGGGCTACAAAGTCCCTGTCTTGTGGTGTATTACTATATCTTAGTATGATTCCTTTTTCAAAAAGAAAGGGGACTTTTAGTATTATTTATTCCTGGCATTAATATAATGCCCTCACTCTATAAATAATGTCAAATGTAGACTGAGCAGTAGCCAAACTTGCCCATGAATATCGGCCTACAGTAAATATATGGGCAAAGTTTCACTCAATTTGAAAGCTACTGCTGCTTTGATCCATTAATGTATATTTGAGGCTAATATAGCAAGTTAAATTGAAAAATAAAAAGAAGATAAACAACAAAGATATAAAACTTTTTTCAAATGTATAATTTGTCTGAATTAGGCATGGAATTATTTACACATTTTACTCTTTTCAAATCCTATTTATATGTGTCTTGTGTTTCTTTTATATCTTGTCGTCACGCCTTTTTAATGTCTTATGTAAAGTAGTTGGAATTACCATGTTGTTGAAAGGTGCTATACAAATGAGCTTGCCTTGTCTTGCCTCAGATAAAGTAAAAGTGCATTGATGCCCATATTAACAACATATGGTGAAAGAGAGAATCTAAACTCAAAAGCCTGCATCATCCAAAAAAAAACCTGCATCTCACGGTCACCATATAGAGATTTTAAATATTTCTATCTGACTGGTATACCACAAACAAGTCCTGTCTTGCTCTCTGCCGCGCTCTCTTTCTCTCACTCACAAACACATACACCCTCACACCACACACATTCACCATGTTTCAAAATGCATGGTGGCCTATTTATTATTGGAGGGGTACTCCAACTGACAAACAAATACCTAGAAATGAAGTCATCTGGCCAGGACATGTTTACACAAACACTGCTGAGGGATTTTATGGCTGATGTTTCCCTGTAAGCCTTTACCGCTCTCCCTAACAGTTCCTCTTTTCCCCTCTATGTTCCCAAACACACAGTTGATCAAAACACAGTGCTAGATGCTATACTGGACCACAAAAACCACCATACTCTAAAACAAACCTCTTTATGTGAGGGCTTTAGGGTCCAGATGTCCTCACATTAAAATAAAAAAGGGGAGGACCACCAGACTTGATAACGTGCTGAGGTCAGACACGTTAGCTACCCCATTTACTCCCCCCTTGTCACCCCCTCTCCATCCTCCCTGTAACAAGATCATAATAACGAAGCCAGAGTGTATTAGGAGTCAAGACTCCAACACCACAGGGTCTGCGCAGACTAAACAACTGATGGTGGAAAGAATTGTTCTTTGGGAGAAATGCGTCCAGCGGCCATGCCAGAAAACATAAATACGGAGCGAGCCACCAGGGCCCCTTTGAAACATCTGTGGTGTAATTAATTGCGCTAATGCCTGGGTGGCACTGTCGTCACCCAGGAATAATCAGCTGCGGATATGTTTCTATTGTAATTCTGAGGCATGCAAATTCTCTCTCTCTGAGTCTGCTCTCACTTTATCTGCCTCTCTTAATCAAATCTGACTTAGCCTAAAAAAATATTATCCTTTCGGGACTTTTCTTGTGCATTCAGTACATTTAAAGTTAGACAGGACCAACTTTCTGACCTGAGCAGAAGATAGGTAAAAAAGGGAGGGGGGTGGGACACAAGTGCTTATACATCCCTCCTGTATCATGTGGGATGAATTTGTGCCCTGTCTGTCTTTTTTTCCCGTGTACTTGACTTTGTTTATAGATACATCACTATCTGAATGATTCCTAATACTGTGATGCATATGGTAAGGATTATGACATAGTAGCACGCAAACACACATTTGAATTATGAAGTTGCACTCACGTGCATGTTCCCCACATATTCCAGTTGTTTAACATCCACTAATTAAGATTTTGACTGCACAGAAATTGACTGGATTGAACCACTTAAAGTAAAATTGGAGCCTTGTTGAGCTCTGTCCACATAATGATGAATAAAATGTGCACAACCTTATATGCATGAGCATGAGTTCTCTGTGCTTGACAACAGGTGCCTTTGTGTTTCCTGTACTCTCAGCTGTCAAATGCTCTGAGAATAACCAGCAGGCAACAGTTATAAGGTGACCACGGCCAGCTAGTCAGTGTTGCTGTTAGCAGTACTTTACACTAACATTTTGAAATGCTATACTTACTCTCGAGTTACTGCTTAGCGTTTGTTTTGGCCGAGGCAGGTTGTCATGTGACAACGTGTTGAATGGTACAAAAGTTCTGGTCACAGCGATATGTTAAGTGTGTGTGGAGGGGACATAAGTAGTGAGAACTTAAGGAGGAAAATGAGCAAGGAAAGACGGCACTGTAGTGAAATGTGATTAACTATAGATCCATGGTTTCATGAGAGTCAGTTGCATGAGTTATTGGATCTCATATGATATGCTGTATGTGGGATCATCTTAAAACAAAAACCAAAACCCAGCATGGAATTAGGGATGGTGGCCTACTTAGCTGACGTCTCATTAGATGGCATGTACAAGTACTGAGGGATTACTTACTTATTGAACCAAGACCCGACTGTATACCACCACAGTCTACAAACATATGATGCCTGAAAGAATATGGCTCACTCAAAGCCCCTTTCAAATGAGAAACACACCACCCCCGAGAAAAAGAAAATGTACTTCATGATTGTACCTTTTGGGGTCTACCAGCTTGTAGAGTTTCCCACTGTGTGACTGCACCATGCTTTTACTGCTTGCCAGTATGTAGACTTCACCTGCAAATAGAGGAACAGTCACATGAAATGAGCCATTAGCATTATTTGAATTACATACTTTTAATGTGCAGCATATGTCCCAATAATTCACTTTTCTTCCATCCATGCAAACCATGCAATGCCTGTGCCAAAATGAGGAGACAAGAGGAGACAAGCGGACATGCTAGGACAAAAGGAGAGGAGATGAGTGTAGCTAAAGCTTCTGCATTGCTGCACTTGCCAAAGGACTTTAAGAAAGAGTTTATTGGGACAATTGGATACTCATGACTGGGAACCAGGCGGATAATTTAATGAGGAACAAGCCCGCAAGAAAATTCCATAAGGGGACAAATTGTAAACATGTGTCTGTGGGGCCCATACTTTGGGACACAAGCCCACCCCCTCCATGATTCTTGCACCACTTGCAAATCATGATCAAATGCAGGGATCTTTAAATACCTCGTCAAATAATAACTCCAAGACCTGGCAAGAACTGTGATCAAACATTTCTGATGGCTGTGTCAGTGATCCACATCATGTCTTCATTTTAATCAGAAACACCAGAGCTGACAGCTAATAATTCTGTGAGTGTCTGGTGGGGGTCCAACTGGTAAAAATGTTCTGTATCATATTAGTCTGCTCACCTCAGCTCACCCTACCTTATCTTTATGCTGCAGTCCCTCAGGTAAACACATCTCTCTAACCATGCAAAACATCGCCTTGTAGGTGGCCCAACACAGCCCATAAGTGGGTCTTTGGAGTATCATTGCTATCTTATGGAAATGACAATTAATCCAGAAGGAAGTACGCACTATTTAATATCCTGTTGGAAATTTGCCATAGAAGTAGAGTAAGAGGGGTACTGTAGTTTTGTTCCCCCTTGTTGGTTAGGTGTTGCAGTTTTCTGTGATTTTCCACTGCGTTTTTATGCATTACCCTGTTTTAGTACACAACATTGCAAACATCTTTCAAATAACCAATTGGAAAATTCCACCCCAATGATGTTAATATATGTAGCATTGATAAATATACAACATAATTACTCCAAGCCATTATTTTTCCATAGTTTTGACATCTGTCATTTGAAGTCAACAAACCTTCAAGGACTCATGTAAAACCCCAAAGTGATTTCAGAAAATATGTTAACACAAATCTGTGACTCATGTTGATATAGGGAGGAAGAACAAAACAAAGGAAGATAGAAAGGAGAGCTAGATTGAGCTATCTGTGAAGAGATAGATAATCTTCTTTTCATTGCCTAACTAACCTAGTTCATCTTCTCCAAAGCCCAAGATGTGTCCCACAAGCGTAGAGCCACAGGAGCCAGCTGAGCCAAGGCACAGAGCTTTCTCCTGCCACTGTTCACCACTTGCTGATGTTGACAGTGTAGACTTCTGGAGGATCCGCAGGTTACTGAAACAAACAAAACACACAGAGTCGGTTAAATGCCACTTTAACTCATGAAGACTGGTAGATGACACAGCGCACATTTCTTAAATTTATAAATTGCTGTGGAAGTGAGAAATACAATGCAGTTCATTTACAGCAGTATTACAACAATTACAGCTGAGATCTGGAAACAGCTTTTTACTTCTTGTAACGTGGTTCATTGACCCATCTTCCTTTTCCACCCCATCTCTCACATGGTGTTATTTAAGACCTCGGCTTTTAGTTTCAAAACAAACATCATGCCGGAGCCTTCACTTAGCCACAACAGTATGCCCTCAAATTGTAATGAGGCACAGAATTAACCGACCACACATTGTTTTAAACACAGTGCCAACTCCTGATAGTGTACTTCCCCCGCGCTATTTACTTCCTTTGTTTACTCAAGCGTCAATGTTTGACATCAGCAAAGTAGGATAAATTACAAACCAAAGAAAAGTGTGAACAGCACAGGGCAGGATGTCTAATCTCCATTTACACTGAATGGGCCGCGCCGTAGCAGTGACAGTAACATAAAACTTGTTTTCCTCCACGTGGATGGAACTTTGTGTTTACTTTGGCATAAACCAATGCAAGGGACAGATTCTCAGTGTGAGAAGGGAGGGAAGAGTTATGTTGATCTGTATATAAGATCTGTATGTAAGACTGAAGATGTTTGATAGCTCATAAATCAAGCGTATTTGAATGCCAGTAGGATCAAGCCACTACAATGTCTTTAAAATAAAGATATCCAACATCAAGTATACAGGGAGGCCAAGAAAAATGTAGCAACTTAATTTTTCTTATTCATCAATACTGCTTTGACAATCACCATTTTCAGACTTACCCATTTTTATCTCCAAACACATAACTTCCATAAAGTCTTCTAGACTGGCAGCCCCTGTAGATGAAACCCCCCACAGGTGGTGCTCCTCCACTGGACTGCAGGTCATAAACGGAAGGCTCATTTTCTAGGGAGGCACAAGGAGGCAAAGGTTTGATTTAGGCTCTGTTGCTGGCATGCATCACCAGTAGACAGAATTTTATCATAGAGGCAATATATTAACTGAGATATAATGTATCAGTAACAATATTCATCAATCTGCATCCTGCAGTGGTTATAATCTATTGATCTATTGATTATAATTTATGGCTATTATAATAAGGTTTTTTTGTTTGTGTTGGAATCAAAAAGAATAACCATGTTTATTTAATTTTGTCTATTAGATATAATGGTTATGTGGTTCATATTAGGGCAACTCACTTCAACAAGAAAAAAACAGCAGAGAGTGAATCTTGATTTAAATTGGACAACATAACACATGGCAACATAAATGACTTCTTCCTTGGCAGCCAACTTAGACTTTATTATGTCTTTATCAAAACTGGAAAAGAATGTATTTTATTGATAAGTGTGATGTTGAGGCAATATGGCATGTTTTCTGGATTACAGTCTTGGCAAAGGGAAATATGAATGGAGGTTTGCTGCCTTTAAAACTTTATGATCCAAGACTTGGTGTGCTCATTTCCCAACTGCAATTACTTTAGAGTTTGGGTATAATGGCTAAAGCTGGCATCTAGCCAGCTGAGAGGTGGCCTGTGACAAGAACTGGCACTTTGAATTGAAGTGAGAGATAAAGGGTTGAAGTACTAGTTTGGTTTGCCAAAGCATCACTCATTTTGGCAAGGATAACCAGCCCAATGTAATTTAGAACAAATAGCAGTAATTTGTTCTTTTGTGAAGAGAAGAAAGCTAAGCATTCTCAAGATGTTACTGTCATTGATTAATTTCTCAATGTGAGAAAAACTATGCTGCATTTTCAACAATACTAAACTATCATCTAGACAGTTATTGTTGTTCACAGCTTTAAATCTTACTTGTGGACACAATCTTACATTCCCTTGGCAAATCTAGCGAGGGAAGGGAGGAATCTTTCACACATCATATCATTTTTACATTTAACCTTCACTGTCTCTGCACTCAACCCGGTGTGTTTTCGGAACTTGTTGCCAAAACACCATGTTCTTACAAAATGAAAGACATTCGGGAAAAACAGATGTCATATTGAGCAGAATAAATATGAAAGGTTATCCAAGAGGTTAATGTATTTTCATTTCTTTCTCCAGACGTAATGCCATCACACAAAACTCAGGCAAAGGTTGCACTGAAGTTATTTTTATCATGAACTATAGTAGCATTGCAACATAATGAACTCCTTTGAAACTTAAAAAATATAAATATTATTAATATTTTTAGAAAATCTCATGGAAATTGTAACTAACCATAATCTTTCCCCTTAGTAATCTCCAGTATTCTTCCTGCTGATGTGTTTTTGCCACTGGCATCTGTACACAGGATCAGAAAACTCCCATTGTCCGTCTGTAGACGATCCACTGCACACCTACAGGACATAACAACAGGGATGAATACAGTAATAAACTACAAGGCGGCAAAGAACAGTTTATGAAACTTATTATTTACTAAACAAGCTTCCTTCGTAGCCCAGTGTTGAACAGTGTATTTCTATCTTAAGATCTTAAGTGTGATGTTGAAGGAGTTTCAAATGTTTCACTCACCTGCCTGGGTCATGTAATCCATGGGCAAAGATTTCAGGTGGCTGGTTAGTGCTGTTGAAGTAAGGGTTGTTCCGTGGTATGGAATAAGGTGATGTGCAGCAGTCTGTGTCCACATCTACCCTCAGGACAGACCCTGTGAAATCACTGCATTCAAACACACAAACAAAATACACCTTCACGATAGTAGGAGCTAGGAAAGTATTCAATCTTGAGACACACACCATTACTCAATCATTTATACTAGGACTCATAGAAATCGGATCTTACCTGAGTCCGTCCATCTCCTCCATATCATCCAGGGTGATCATGCCATCTCCAAGGATGATGTGCAACAGACCATCGGGGCTGAACAGGAGTTGACCACCTAGGTGCTTCCTGTGCAGCTCTGCCACTTCCATCAGCATCCGCACAGTCCTGGTGTCCACCTGGTTCGGATTTTTCCTAAGGAAAAACATAACACGTCATTGTCACTAGGTTTCTGTCACTGAGTGCAAAAACAATGGTTGCTACACTACAAAGTAACTAATATTTATCAGGAGTATGTACAACATTTCTGTACCTACATGCCTCAATAGAGTCTCATATAAATATTTAAAAGTATACGCTGTATTACAGTCTAAGTGACTTGCTCCGCAGTTAGCACTTGATTGGGGTGAAAAGCTGCTGAAGAAATGGAATGAAATGTTTTGAAATATACTTCGTAAGACATGATTTTTAAATAAGTACACACTCTGATTGCCTCTTATTACTTTAAAGAATAATTGTGTTGGTGGGGAAAATGATACTAAGGCATGGATAAGAAATGCTGACATGACATACCGAACAAAATCCAACATTGAATGAGTTTAAATAGGTTGTTGTCTGGGGACATTTAGTCTAAATATAATGCATTGTCTCATTAAGGCAAAGACAGTGGGTGGAGATGTAACACAGGCTTCAAAATGTTGCACAATTTCTAGTGCAAAGTGAGGATTTGGCTTCGCAGTATCAGCAACAAATATTTCATGATGTGTTATTTTGTGTAGTCCTGCAATTCTTAAAAAGCAAGATTGCCAAAGACAAAAAATTACTCTCTTAAAACTACCATCAAATACTTTAACTGTCATTGCTCTATTGGACCCTCAAATTAAGGACTATACGTTGTAGTCACCAAGACTGCATGCCAAGACTATAATTAAGATTAGGTCAAACATAAAACTGTGATTATGCAAATTAAAATGTAACACTTCAACACGTTCGTGAGAAAAGATTGTTTTCTTAATCACAGGTGTGTGGTTGAGAGTGTTGGAAATCAACGCCCATCACATATTCAGCAAAACAGAGCGCATTGAAAGTTAGTTAGGTGGGACGTTTAATCTACATTCTAAATCCCCACAAGACAACAATCCTTGATGTTTTTCCTATTACATCTTTAGAAACCTTATGTTGTGCTCTTAAAGCTTTCATATTTTATTGTGGTTACCATGGTTTCTAGCAAAAATGTTTAGATCAGTGTTGTTGGATTGGATGGAACAGCCAATAATATAATCAATTCCTCCATGATTTTTTGATCAGGAACGTTCAATAGAATCACCCTTTTCTTATCCCTATTTCTCTTATTCCATTTGAAAAGATACAAATTGCACCATTGGAATTATTCAGCAATAAACAGCTAAATGAGAGCATGTATTTAAAAGCAGATTGGGGCTTTGCAGGAAAAATGCATGTCCACGCTATAATAATCCTCATAGTTAATAGTCAATGTTGTGTAGACAGTGAAGCAGCTAAGCAGCTCAGTGAACGACCCATATTTAAGGTAGATTTGGCACACACTTCTCCTATTACCTCGAAACGGTGTATTCAACCACACGGAGAATGTGGTCGTGTGGTCCGATGGCCCAGCGCTCTTGGTTGGTGGTGTAGGAGACGTAGAGCTTGCCATTCTTCTTGTAATTGGGGTGGAATGCCAGGCTTAGCAGGCCCCTTTCATCTCCACCCTGCAGTCAGATGAGAAACACAAAGGATCCAGGAGTTAATTATGTCCCTCCTTGGCTTCTGCACGGCTGTGTGGGGTTGGAATCACCCCCCTCGGTCATCTTCATCATCACCAAGACCACTACATGCAACCCCTACACACTCATCACCCCCCACCTCTTTTAATTCTTCAACCTCTCTAATCCCCTTTTTTATTTATCCATCACATTCCCTTTCACACCCCCGCTATTCTCCCATTCTCTCTTTTTCTCCCCTCGCCTGTTTCACTTCACACCTTCACCAACCTCCTTGAATATTCCATTACCAACCATTATAAAGCATTTGACTCTGGGTAGAGCTGCACCTCCTCTACAACCCCCCGCCTTTGCCCAGTCTTCTCTGCAAGCCTGGTTATGTGCGCTTGTCCACAGGGTCGGGGGCCCCTATGACGCCCAGGCCCTCCCGGTGGCCTCCATTGTGCAGTGATTTGTGTGTGTAATCTTTGGGGGATATCCGTGAATGCTACGCTGAGTGGCTGAAAGAATTTATTAGCTCACTCACAGTTCATAGAGAGCACAAAAGTGCAGAGTGCTTCAGTCCCTGCTTTTTGCTCCCTGTCCCCACGCTCTTTCCCGGTTTACAGAAAATCCATGCAAAATTCAAGGCTTGGAGCGGGTGGGGATGGGGGTGGGGGGAGGGCAGAACTGCCAACTCCCACTGTCTTGGCAACATGTTTAGAAAACATCCAAATTGCTTGTGTAATATGTAAACCTTTGTCTCACCCCGGAGGCAGCTACATCAGTTGTCACTACCCTGGTGGTCCTCCCATCATAGTTAGCTGTAATAATCAGCTACAGCATTTCATTCCCCAGGCAAGGCAAGCCAGGTCGGCCCTTTTTTTATGTTATACTCTCCCTCACTATTTCTTCTTGACAAAAGAATGAACAGAATGCTAGGCTTAGGTGTGAAGAATGTTTATAAAGTGGTCCCTGTGTGATTGTATCCCTCCAAAACAGCTTGATTTTTTTGAAAGTGAGCATCATGCAGCGATCTTACTCATGGAAAATAAACAAGTATCATGGCTACAATTAACACTGCTGTCTCATCCTTAAGGTAACTGAGAAAAAAATATATCTTGGTTTGGCTCTGGATAGGTGTAGTCTATGTCGCAGGCCAAGGAACACACATCATAAATTGGTGTGCTGGATCTCTGTAGTTCTGTTTGGACTGCGTTTAGACCCAGCCCAGTCAAACACATCAGTGATAGGCTACATGCGAATGCAAGAGAGATGACTCTTTACAAAGGAATGTACTTGAAGTACCACTGAGCAACAACAGAGACCCACATGATAAGCCACAGGGGTTCTATCAATCTGAATATAAAGTGAAATGTTGTGAAAGTTGACAAATAAATCTCCACCCCAAAAAGGCAGAGTTCCTCCGCAAAAGATTTATGAGTACTACTAAATGTCAGATCATTGAAGTCAAATAAAAAAGGAGTTATGTGGGATTGGATGCAACAAACTGCACAGCTGGATGTTAGTCGGAGCAGAAGTGACTACACTTTGCCAAAGAATGTCAAAAAGTTGCATCTTGGGAAGAGACTCAACCTCACCTTGAAATGCTGGATCCATAAGTTGGATTTTGGGATGCAGCGACCCACATCCCCAAAATAAACTCACCATAGGGAGTGGGTCAAAGACCACAACTCCAAAGAGGCCTAGATCCGTTGCCAAAGGGGGACCACCAAGATACACAGTGGTTAAATGGGATGAAATATTAGCTCCCTTGCTAATGAGTAGCTCCTTCAGCAGCAGGCAAACAGCAGCGCTGGCACCAGAGCCATAAGAAACAAACACTGCATTAGAAAGCCTTTCAGTCTAGAGCCAAGCCAAGGAGACACCTTGATTAAAATAAGACAGCGTGCCAACTTGCAACTCCTGAGCGCTGATCGTGGTAAAACTGCCACCAGAGTTGCAGTAGATAAGATATTCTCAGCATGGCTCAAAAACCAATATACTGTACATTCAAGCTCATTTACAGAATGGACAAACTGCGGGTTTCACATATTGTTAGCTGCAAAGTGTATTTTCAGGGGTTTTTAATCCTACATTGTGGGTTTTAAAAGCTGTAGAGTAATGTAGTAGTTTTGCTCCGCCTTGTGTCATAGTACATATCAATTACTATAGCACCATATGCCACATGCCATTATACTGTGATGTGTTAATGCTTTACATTTATGTATTAATGATTTCTTCACAACAGGTGTTAATGTTGCTGATTATAATGCCTGCCATCCCCAAACCTCCCTCAAACTATACAAATGACTCCTCTGTGTCAACTTAAAACACATTCCCTCCATTTTCCCTTGAACATCTTTGTGTTTTTTTATGACCGCCATCATTCTTCCACAGCCAGGCAGGGGGTTCTGATTGAATCTCTCATGAGGTATTATCTCTTCATTTTTCACAAACACCTGCTTCTGCATTCCTCTTTTCCCTCCAATTCTGTTCTCTGGGGCTCTGGCTTTGGCACTGTCAAAGTGTTGGCGTCATTCCACAGAAAGCTGGGAAAGTGAGGTGCAGGGATGAGGAGCGGTTGTTATCTCACATCTCATGGTGCATTTCATGGAATGCTGGTCCTGTCTGACTAGCGGAGACAGCGACACACATAACGCTACCATTTCCAATTCTGCAGGGGCAGCTGTCTTTGAGTCCCAGTGACGCATGCATTGGCTCACGCATTGTTACCCTGAACCTTTTGATCCTTCTTGTGGGCATTCCTCCACCGAAAGACATTCCACATGAGTTGACTGGAGCAAAACAATGTATACGCCCTTCACTCAAAGACTACCTGATGCATCTATGCTCACACCTCTCTCACACAGACAATACACACATCTCCTATGTGGTGCTCTTTGCTCTTCTCTTGTGCAATGAAAATCTAATCCCCACTGCAACTCCTCCACCTGTTAATACATAAATCTTATGACAAGCACACAGCAATCCCATGACGCATTAATCCTCCCACCAACCAAGAATAAGATATAATCCATCATCTGAGCCATAAAGTTCATAGAATAGACTTTTTGCCTAACTGCTCTACTTGTAAACATTTCATCTTTCACTAGAAGGCATCCCACTGTTTGAGGATAATTGTGAGATCAGTATGAGTTTAACCCTGCCTTTGCGTCTAGTCAGAGTAAATAGGGAAGATGAGGCCACTTATTTTAGTCTGAGAGCAACCCTAAGCCTCTGATGGCCGCTGAGAATGTAGAGCAGCTGTCAGCAAAACAGGGACAGAAAGAATAACATGCTGTGACTTATTTGTTTAAACAGTGGAATATTTTATTGCAGGCCCCCTCGCCCCTGTTACACAGGCTAATACATGTCAGTGGATTGTCAAGCTTTGGTTTGCTGCTCACAGATGTCTTCATTTATAAAACTCACTGTCACTATCACACATGCTACTCTCGAGTGTCTTTTCTGAAGTTTTACAGTGCAAGATATTGTAGTTGTTTGAGCAGAGGCTAAAGCTTAGCACCAAAGTCTACAAACACCACCAGCCATTAGATGTATATCAAAGAGTATCATTCTTACTTTAATTGTTGCATCATAAAATAGGTTGCCTTGAGAGTAACTCCAAACCAGTTCATGGATAATTGTAGTTGTTGTCATGATAAATTGTTCATTTTTGTCACTTACTTCTCTATAAAGCTTTACATATGTATCTCGTATATGCTCAAATCACTGCTATCCAATAAAACACGTTCAACTGGGAAGATGGATTCACTTAAACCACACCTGTGCTTGTGCGGCACTAGTGTACAGACTAAACTTGCTGCTATTAACTCAAATTACCTTAATTGGCTATTTACACACGCTCAGACAAGAAAGTCACATTTTGTTGCAAACTTGCCGGAAAATTTTTTAAATAATTTTATTTTATTGTATTGTACTGTATATAGAATATTGTTTATCTTGTCAATGCATCTTTTTTTGGTATTGTATTTTTAACATGCTAACTAACTAGTGCCTACAAGCTGAAGCAACAAAATCTCTCTGTTTTGTTTGATTTGGTATGTAAATGGAAGGAAGTCGTAGTCAGTAATGCAAATATGGATATAAATTTGGAGTGCTACAAAAGCAAAGAATTAGATAGGAACGTTCATTGTCATAACTCCTTAATAACCTTGCCAAAACATATTTGTATAAAAATACAAATATGTGCAGCTTAAAAAATCCAGTATCGGTCAGGGCTTTAGTAAGAACGGTCACAGTTAGCTACATGCACCAATTCTGAACCACATCCTGTAGAGGGGCTCTGTCCAATCAGGAGGGTTGTCCATGATTCACCATCATGTTAGAGGTGTGTGAATGTGAACCAATTGTAGAGAGGACCACTGTGATGACGACATGGGTAGTGTGTGTGTGTGTGGTGGGTGGGTGGGTGATGAGGGGGTTTGAGGCTGGAGTATAGAGATTGAATTTCAGGGGAAGAACACCCACAGCGCAGCTAGGAGCCCACACCACCACAGCACAGCATTGTTTCTGTGCAGTTCAGTTTAATTGGCACCGGGGGGATCCATGGAAGGAGGGGGGATAGAGGAGCAGAAGGAAACACAGAACATTACAATCAAAGCATGTGCATGGAGCTGATGATAAACCCGCTATCTGTCCTGTCTCCTGGGGGCCTGGGTTCCTCTCTCTGTATAAAGGCAACTCCATCCTGTTGATGCTGCCAGTAAACACCTTAGCCCTCCCCTGGTTCTGTTCACCCCGTGTGGCTAGGAGCCCGTTCTGGCAGCCAACATCGCAGAATAGGACTCCTGGGGCTTGCGGGGGATCGAGCCACGTCTAATTGTCATAATGATCACTTTATCCACAACCAGTTTGGACTGAATGATGATAAGCGAGCACAGCAGAGCAGTGACAGTATCCCGTAGGGGGCAGTTGCATATTCAATTGCTGTGCTCTGCTTGACTCCTTATAAGCAAAAGGTCTTGTCAGTGGAGGAGCAGGAGGCATGCGTGATAGATAAACTTCCTGTCTGGGAGTGTGCCCCCCTAAACATCCCAGCTTCCCCATCTTGTGCAATCTAAACAATTTCTGAACAAACAACAAGATGCAGTAAGGATTAAGACTAACAAATAAATATCAAGACATTAGAGACATTAGTCTGAAGATTACAAAAAATAATTGAGATATCTATAAAGAAATCTTAGAGCTAAGTCTTGGAATATTTCCAATGTCATATTTGATATTTCAAGAATTAGCACAATGACACAACATATTTTCAACCACATCTGTGGTTGAAAATATACCTACTCTATGACACAGTGGATGTAACAATATCCAGAAATCTGCAAAAAGATTTATTAATGTGCACCTTTATTTTTTTGTGCGTTGTCTGTGGCAGACAGGGCACACAGCCAAACATTAGTAGAACACACGTTTACTTGCCCCTTGACACAATAATATCCTACTCCATACTTTTATGATGATAGGTGGACAAAAAGACAAGGGAAATGTTACATAGGTGGTCATTCCTGTCATAAATACAGACATATCAGTCTTTTCAGCTCTTCACTCTATGTCACTAACCCTTTATTATTTTCACTAAGAAAGCAAGAGAAAGCAAAAAGATATCACAGACATCTGATGAAAATGTCTTTGCTAAAGTGAATAAAGAGTAAGTTAAAGCCATTCCACTCATCATGTGGGGTATTGAGTTAGTCACTATGTCAAATATTGGGTAAGTCACCATGTGGGGTATTAGAACCCTTATAGGAACAATATGGGAGAGATTAAGAAAGCCATTAACCCATCCTGTGAGAATTAGCAGAAAATTAGCAGTGAGCACAATGTGTGCTGTATGTACAGTTAATTAGCAGATAATAGCATAATGATTAGCTACAATCACATTTGATGAATGACTGCTTGTTTGGTGTAATTATATAATTAAATACTAATAGTGAGCAGGCGCCACTTTCAAGGGATTTGTCTTGGCTGGAGATGTTCCTCACACGTTTACATAGGTGCAAACAGTTGTGTTGTAAAGAATTGTGTTAATGCTTTACCACGTTACTTCCTGACTCTAGTAATGCAGAAACAACACCAACACTGTTAACAAAATGAAGTGAGTGTCATTCCTACCTTTAGACCGCTCTGCACTAGCTTGTGGATGTCCAGGAATGGCTCCTTGATTAGCTCAAGGTCATGGTTGAGTATCCTGACAATTCCCTCTCTCTCCAGGACAAAAAGCCGCTGGGATCCATCCCCACAGTGCACCACGGCCACCGGCTGCCTTAGACCACTCAACACCTCCTGGGCACAGTAGCAGTTGTGTTTGAGTTTCCTGGGTAACAAGGGAGATACAAATGGTCAGAGGCCAATGGTAGTGGTGAATAATCCACTTAGAAGGGGCACAGAATATGAAGTAGTAGTGTTCTGGAAGGAAGCGTAAAATAATCAGCAACAATCAACAAGCAACAGTTTATCTTAATGTTGTATGTTTTATTAATGTTTTGCTTTATTTAAGATTTATTGTGCATTCTTAACCATGAGACACATTTAAATGCACAGCAAAAATCCAGTTCATCATTATGTCTTATTCCTACCAGTATCTCTTTTAGTGTAACAACCTGTATTCTGGTATGAAGGCATTCTGTTGTATACTTACCTCTACAGCCATCTGAAGGCAGCATGTACACAGTGATTTCCTTCTACAGGCTCTAGAGCATCTGAGTAACAAAGTCTGACTTCATACCCCACATCCACCAGTTCTCTTGATCAAATCTTCCACAACAAGCATCTGATTGATGGTGGCAAACTAAACATGCAAACTGTGTTGTATGTAGATCTACTTGGCTGGTTGTGAATCATACTTCTTAAAAGATTCCTAGTTTACACTGTGAAAGTCATCATCACTGTGGCATGTTATGGTATCCCAAGGATATTTGATACAAATATTTATTCAGAGCCATAAATTGTAAGACAGTTTTTTTCTCCTTTCTACATCAGTGAACTCCCTCACACCCACCTGTTCCCATCCATCCTCTCTTAAGTCTTTCCATCTCAATTCAAAAACACCATCAGTCGCTATGGGTCATCACTAACAATGGCCATAATGTTAGCCAATAACTGTGACTTCATTTTGGCATTTTCCTCCGAGCCTCTAATGTAAGAGAGTCCTGCTCACTATCATTTACCTGAATATACCTCTGGAGGATAAGGCACAGAAGTGACAAATGAGCCCCTGACTCTAACTTTTAGAAGTCATTTCACTTAATGTTGGTTGCTGCTATTCAGGTGCACATGCTGCTTGGCCTTCTTGCCTCAGGCAAAACAGAGATGAAAGGCATCCCCCCATGGACAAAAGGGCAAAGCCCTCTGTGATGTACAGACCTTTGCAGTCAGTGAGGCAACCAGAATGACGCAGGATAAGCATTTTCATTATGTGAGCAAAGCTGAGCAAATGCAGTCTGGACAAACTTTAGGATTAGAGGAGAGATGGCATAGCCTTTCTGTCTGAAGGTATGGACCATGTCAAAATGGACCAGTGAACCCAGAACATGTGACCAAGGTAACGCCTGTTTCTATTAAACATAAATGTCACGGCTTAATGTCATGAATCTGAACTCATAAGTACTAATGAAGCCTGAAAAGAAAAGTTAACTTGGCTGAAATACATAAAGAACTGGCCAAAGCTCATTCAAAATAATAACATGTACATCTTCCATAGTGTAACTCAATTCTCAAATGGATAAAAAACATGGTAAAAGTAAAGCTACAAACCTCCTCATATCTTCTATTTTCTCATCTCCCAAGTAGTTGGAATCTTGCCCTTGTGGTTGCTTTCGCTGAAAATCTGGAAAGCACAGACTGGCATCTCTCCTCCCATAGTATTGGCAGAACTCATCCACATCAGCTTGGAACAGTTCTAGCAAACACAACATACACAAACAGACAGGATCATACACTTACTGTAGATACAGCACGGTTAAATGACTTTATACTCTAGTTCTGTTGTACTATATGTGTGTGCATGCATGACTATGTGCAAGTCAGGACATAAGAATAGGAGAGAATCAGAGGAAGACAGAAAGGATGTGATGTGCTTGTGTGTTGGGGAGGGTTAGAGTTATGCTTGATGAGCCAAACCAAATCCTGGCTAAACTGGGCTGAAATGAACAAGTGAAGAGAAACTGGGCCAAACCAAATGGATCACAGATTAGACAGGGCTCTGCAATAAACTATGCCTCCTCTACAGAGCAACACGATTCTCAATTTAAGTTTACGCTTTCATTATTTTGATTTATTAAATTGTGTTTGTGCATCCTGATGGATTCCTATGGACTGGTTTTTTTAGGTCTATTCAGCAAGTAGTAGTCTATTATCAGTGATAATTACAAATATCATATATCATATATCAGCTGGTTTGTGGGTCATTTCAGGGTTGGCTTGGTGTTCTGTTGATTAGGGACATCCTCAAATTAGTGTTCTTCAGAAACATGCTATATCTAGAAAGCAAACACACATTCCTTCACCCCACAAGTGAGTGTTTGAGAAAAAATCATTTTCAGCACCCTATATAATCAATACAATAACAATCAAATTTTACATTCATCTATAAGCAAATGACCTCACCATTGCAAAACCAAAAAGCCCTGATCTTTCAAGGAATAAAGTGATATTCCTCCTCACCTAGCCGGTCTAGAGGCTCTGCTCACATCAAAAGTTGACGGGTAAATCATGTCACAACTCTTACTATCGCCTGTCAAAATTAGCATGACTAAACTGTGTACAATTAATTAACTGGTGGAAAAAAACACTATATTATTCATGCAATTCTTTAGGATGCCTAAATTATCTTTAATGACCTGGACACTTGTTCTTTCTTTCAAACAGGTGTGACTATTTTGTTTGCATTACTGTGCAACACATGGGCATTTAAAATGAAACAACCTGTTCAATATTGCCTGTAGTAAACAAAAATGTTTTCCGGTTGAGAGATATTCTTTGCCAAACAAAGACGTGATGTTCCCAAATATTTACTGAGTTGAGTCTCAGCTACTTCTGGCCTCCTGATCTTACAGCAATCTTTTTTAACCTTTTCAGTCTGCTTTTAGAGCCTGTTACTCCACCAAAACTGCGTTTTCTTTCCACCGCTGCCCTTCAATTACTCGATCTTGGTTTAGCTTTTGACACCATAGATCACTGTAAACTCCTAGACAGACTGGAAAATCGATTTGAAGTCTCTGTCCAGGCTCTTGTGTATTGTATTGCATATCTGAAGGAACACAGTGTGTTTCCTATAGTATTACTACATCTAAATTTTCTGATGTGAAACATGAAGTACCCCAGGGCTCTGTTCTTGGCCCTATGCTTTTCTCTTTTTATATTTCACCTCTTGGTCAAATTATATGCAGTCATTAAATTTCCACTGCTACACTGATAATACTCTGCTGTTTTCAAACTTTGTTAGATGTATGTCCCTGTAAAGGCGTATGAACATACCCAGCCAAGAATCTTGGTATTACGTTTGCCCCGTCACACTAGTATAACCTCCTGGCTGACATCAGACAGTCTGACTCTGTTGAAGCCTTTAAATCCAAACTTAAAACTTGTTCTTTGCGCCTGAACTTTTAGTTGGTTGCTTGTTCTGTTATTACTGCCTTGTACCTGTAACCATTACCCTTCTGATGGGTCGGTCTCAGCCTCAAGTAATCTATCAAGCTAGCTCTTTCTCTGTTCTCTCCCTCACTCTCTCCCTAGTTTCTCCTCCTTGTCCTCTCTTTTCACTCACTTTGGACATTCGGCCATCCTAGGACCTCTCTCTCTCCCCTGGCTATCAGTGCCTCATTCCAGATGTTTTGGATCAGAATCTTCGTCCTCCAGGAGATTCAGCCTCCCCTCTTGTCTCTGTCTCTCCCTTGTGTGCATGTTGTCCTTGTCTTGCTCTCCCTCTATGTGTTCTCATATCTGTGTGAATGGCGTGCTTGAGTTTTGCCTCTTGTGTGTTTGTGTAGTCTGTCTCTCATGCTCCATCTGTTTGGCAGCACCTGGAAGTTACTCAACATCCTCCTGGATTGATATTCTTCAAATATATTTCAATCTATCTATAATTTTGTTATCCTGGTTGTTCATGCATGTCTTCCTGAGGAAGAGTTTTTTTTGTCATTGTTAAAGTTTTTTTTTAGTTTTTCCTTATCCAAATTAAAGGTGTGAAACTCCTTGCGGTAAATTTATAATTTGCAAAATTGGGCTGTATAAATAAAACTAACTTGACTAGGCTTAAGTGACTGATTGTATTCTACTAATTTAGCATGTAAATTCAATGTAAAACTGCCATCACATCATTCCTTATTTCCCTTTGGCCTGCTGGTTTACCTAAAATGTTTCAGTGCCAGAACAAAAAGTGATCTACGTAAACATGGCAGTCCTAAACAGCTACGCCTCCAGCCTGAGCAGTCACAACATTATTCCCGGAAAAAAGCCGTGCAGTGGGTCTCAGAGGCCCTTTGCGACCTAAAAACAATCTTGCCAATATTGTTTCCTTTAGTCAATCCCTCAGAGGACAGAGGAGAGCAAATACACCAGTGATAAAAACACAAACAGGACTCTCCCTGTCCCAGCTTTCATCTCTCTCCTGCCACACACCGACCACAAGCGCTGACCACACCAAATACTGGAGGTGATAGGATATCCCCTCAAACATCTAAACACAACATGAAGATCAAACACACAGAAACACACACACACACACAGCTCTGGCTATACCACCCACCCATTTGTGTCTGCAGTTATCTTAACCATGCTGGTTGGGGACCTCAAGTGCAGGGTGGTAGGATGAGTGAAAAGGGGAGGAAGATATGAGAGAAGAGGAGTAAGGGGAAGGTGGGAGGCCTCCAGGCAGAAGTGAGAGTCAAGGCAGTAAATGTCTTTATGGAGAAATGGGGGCTAAGTACATGGCCTAATCAAGGGCCACTAGGAAATTTCATGGGAGCTGTTATGGATGCTGTAAAAGCTACTGTTTAATTTTAATACCTTTGGTCAGATGAACAGCAAGAATTTTAAGGGCATATGATATTTTCTGTTCATGTTTGTGCTTCACTGTTACTGCATCACATCGTAAGACACAGGGTCACAATTTGTGAAGTTTATTGTGAGATATTTCTAAATCCAAAAGCTTTGACAATGTATCAAACCTTTATTGTACTGTGTGCACTGATAGAAACAAGACTGGAAAAGAGTATGAATCAAGTCAAAGAGAAGAGGAAAGAGAGAGAACGAAGAAGGGGATAAAGACAGACAGAGAGCAAGGGTTAGAGAGAGAGAGAGAGAGACAGAACTCTGTCCATATTCCCGGTTCCCCAGCGCTAAAGTTATACTTCCATCTGGTTATCTTCCAAAGCAACCTGGGTGGCCCACCCAAAGTACTTGACATCTTGATGCACTTCAGCAGTTTTACATACACACAACCTTTGTAGAAAAATAAATGTGTCATTCGTCACCACATATGCTGATCTGTGGAGGGCTGGGGGTCGGGGGGGGGTGTGGGTGAGCGGGGAGGAGCACGACTGTCTTGCGGGGGTGTGGGTGAGCGGGGAGGAGCACGACGGTGAACACAGGGAGGGGGGGGTTCTTCTCTGGATTCCTCTCTTGAGCTTTTTCGGTTTGACTCTGTTAGCCCATATGCCTGTCAGCTCATGAGCAAGTTATGTAGCTCAAGACAAGTCGTCGTCTTCCCTCCTCTCTCTATGCTCTGTGGAGCCCCACTTGCCAACCTCAACTGTAGTTCAAGTGTTGTTCAAGATATGCCAGCAGGCCATTAGATGCAGACGAGGATGGACTCAGATGGAATGTATGTGTTTGAAATTTGACTTGAGCTGCAGCATACCATGTGGGTGGGTTGCAGACAAGTGTGTTTGAAACTGTTCTCTGTTTGCAAATCTCGGCAGATCTAATCAGTTTGTGGCGACAGAGATTGGAAGAAGACTTGGCTGGAGGAGAAAAGACAGTCAAAAAGTGTTTGATCATGTTTGGTATGCACTCTGAAGGCACAGGTACCTGCGATCTTGCATCCCTTCAAAGGAAATTCTTCTGAAGACCAACGCTTTCAAGGTGCAGAAGGGTTCCTATCATTTAGCAGTAACTAAAACTGTTGCATCAATGAGTTTTTTCCCCCTGCTGTGTGGATTCTGCCATCTCATAGTAGAACTCATGGTCAGAGAGGACATGGACGAGTAAAGCAACACTTCAACTATGTTTAGATTAATGTGAATTTACTACTCAAAAGAAAACATACTAGTGGCAGAGTATGAGACAGACGTTTAAGTGACAGTTTATGTCTGAGGAAGGCAAGGTGCCGGGAAGTCATGTCTAGACCACAGAGGTGGTTATGCATCCTGAATACAGAATCAACCTCAGGAGTTGAGTCTGGTGAGCAGTATCCAGGAACAAGTCATAAAATAGATAATTTTGCTCCAGTCCAGTTTTCTGGTACACTGGTCAGGCGCTGGACTGGTTTTTGTTGTTTTTGCACGTGAGGGATTTGTTTTCACACCCATCTTTGCAAATCAAATATTTTCCATTCACATGTCAGGAAATGCCCCAAATTTGGTGTATTATGACACTCACAAAAGTATTGTTTTTGCAAATTTATGCTTATTAAAATAAACTTGCATAATCCAGATAAAACTAACAGAGACAAGAGAACAAAATGTTTTGCACCTGGTGCCATAAACACAGCTACACTGAATACTGTCATAAAAAGCACAAATATTGCTCTGCTGTTTGCTAGATCAGTTTGCAGACTAATCAGCAAACTGGCGTTGCGTCTGTATAGGCAGTGTGTGGCGAGTAATTTTACTGATGCATTAAAGTGAAACAGCAAAGCAAGGCAGCAAGCAAGCAAACGAGTGAGACAAGCTCAGCAACAAATGGAGGTGAGGTCAGATGAGGTAAGAGCTGGATAAATAAATATTCACAGACCAGACTACTGACGCACCACTTCTTGCATAAGTCCAAAAATCTGCCAGTTCTACATGTGCAGGCTGAGTCTCAATGAGAAATGAGGCCTGCTGTGAATTTTAATTCATCACAATCAGACGTGTGAATGTCATTTAAAATGTACGAGACTGAGCAAATTTAACGTATGTCTACTTTCACTTACTCTATTCATGTGTATATGTTTGGTTGCGCATCACCAGGTAACCACAAAGGGGCTATAATTCAAGTCACATTCATGGTCATTATTATCTGTGTAATTACCTGGTATGTGCCCCCTGCAGGTGTAGTAGAACTCGCGGCAGAAGTCCTGGCAGAGCCGTGGCAGGTCTGGCTCCCTGTGTGGCATCTTATCCATGTCCAAGGAGTGGAACAACACCTGGGCATTGGGGGAGCAGCGAGCACACTTGATCTCCTCCAGGAGACGTCCACATTCAGTGTTGTTGGTGGAGAAAATCTGGAGACCACACGCAACAAGGACCAATGATTAAGCTGGTGGGCTGTTAACTTTTATTCCTTACGTCAATTTGCACAGGCAAGCCGCCATGTAGTTTAGGATTTGCTGGATGTTTGGTGATATATCATAAACATTATACTATGAAGGAAAGTTTAGATTGTAGGGTGCATTTTCAAATCTTCTTTATTATGAATTCCTGACAACTTAAGACACTGTCTGTGATTTTCAAGGACTATACAACTATACAAAAATGTGATGTTTCCAGTGAGTCTAAATTACCCTTTTAAAGAGAATATTAGCCAACTTTAGTTTTTAACTTTGTTAGATATGTATACATCAGTCCATGTAATATGTAAAATGTAAAAAAATATAAAAGGTTTTTGATTAAATGTTTGGATGGTTCCTATGATAAAACACAGAGTGGCTTAAGCACTTTCCAGCCCTCACCAGACCTGGCTAAGCCCTAAATTAGCCAATCTCACCCCACTTACCACACAGAAAGTCAGTGAGCTCTACTTTACACAAATACTCACAAAGTTACAACTTACTTACAAGTTATAACTCCGTGTTAACAACATATTTCTCCCATATGATACATGCACAGTGAGATACTCTGGCAACACTAGAAGTCATAAACCCATTACTCCACATGCCAAATCATAAGTTAAACGTCAATGTCATCAAGGAGTCTGTTGTGTGGTTAGTCTGGATAGTTATTGTTAGCGTTGGGACTGTGCTGAACACTTTGTTCACACAGCAACTTTCTTTTTTTTTATAGCATCATCTGTAGAATGAGGAGGGAGACAGACAATCCCCCTTCATAGTGTGAAAGTCTGCAGCATCTCTACCACGATCTGCATGAACGTTCACACCACTCACACTACAAAGACACTCAAAATTCTCACCTCGTTTTCCCACTGAAACATTTTTACAATCTCATGTGCACAAACTGAATAACAAAAGCCATGACATTTTAATTTTTAAAGCTGATTATATTGGTATTTCTATCACATTTCTATCCAATTTTCTGTAATATTCAACTCCATAGCCTTTCATTCTAATTTGTTAAACATTGAGGTTGGAACACCCTGTCTGTTTAGAGAAATAAACAAAGAAATCATCTCATTCACTGCCTACTTACCCAGGTTCATTAACAGTTAAAAGTCAAATTACAATTCCCATGTCTGACAGATCTCTGGGCATTAAATGAATGAAGTCAAATAAGAGCCTCAAAGTCTGACTTGGGGTCATTACGCAAAAGTACACAGAGAGTTAATCCAAAAGAAATTAGCAGGATTATTTACATAACAAATTAGCTGTAATAAAACACAATGTAATCTGTTTTAGGTCAAGAGCAACGCTGCTTGGGCAGCCAGGCAGGCAGGCAGGCTGGTAGTGCTTTGCTCTGTGTGAGGTCTATGTGTAAACACCAATTTAGAGATAGACAGGCACATCATTCCCACTCTGGTATCAACAAATTAGCAGTCTGTCGAAGTCAATTAGACCAGCGAACCCAAGGCCAACATATGGATGCCTTACACTTCGCTCTGACTGCAGAACAAACTGCAACTGAGTAAGATTTTCTGTTAAGTTATTCAGAGCTGTGTTTACCCAACAGGTGGCAGAACCTCTGGGAAAACCTTGAGGGTCTACCTGAAAAATATACTAACATATACAGGAAGTCTCTCATCACAAAAAGGCAGTATAACAGACTAATTGAAGAGGAAAAAGAAATTCGAGCCCTTTCCAGAGCCCACAGTTAAACTCTGATTTGAATCCCTCTTTTGTTCTACATTTTATCTAATTGTCTAATTGACTTTTCCTCAAAAAGGGAGCTCCAGGCTGGCTATGACCCTATGTGTGTGGTGTGTTCCTCTGTCTGCGTGCCCTCTTCACTCATGCCATGTAGTGTTGTGGGCATGCCTGCCCTCCTGCTCTAAATTGCCCATTGATTCTGTGTGCCATGGGCTGGCACAAGGTCCACGGAGAGTAGCATTTGTGTGCTCTCAGCCATGCCCTGTGTCCATATGTTGCTGGGATGGGCTCCAATGTTGCCATCATCCAAACCAGAACAAGTGGACCTTTGTTTGTTGTCTTTTGCTTGAATCTCAGTGAGTACGTTCCTCAAAAGCAGGGAGAAAATGGCAATGAAGCTCAGCTGTTGCACTTTTGCTGGGGACACGCCGAAGCAGGTCAAGAACAGAGCCATAATCGAACCAACGTGGAGCTATAATGGCATGAGAAAATAAAATTCTCATTAATTTATCCCCGGAGCTATTTCAGATGTTTACATTTTCTAAAGCTGGCATCACACCAAGCTGCAATGCACAGCTTCATACGGGAGAACAGCTGTTACAAGATTACTTCTCTCTACAATAGGATCTGCATAATGGCTTTCTCCACCGGATTTTACCGGAACAAACATATTAATATACAACGCCACACTCTTTCAATTGCAAAAAACAGTGGCTTTGCAACCCTCATATGGTCAGAGAGACTGGGAGAGACCGGGAGAGAACTGATGTAGGCAAAGCTTTCACAAAACACTTGTCCTCAGGGAATAGGTGTAAGTTGGTTGGCAGGGGGATATAGTGAAGGACACACACACACACACCCTCTCAAAGGCATTAACACTTGGACAGGGCTGATGACTGGGGGAGAGTGATGTTCTCCAGCTTCTCCCATTAGCGAAACTAACAAACACAATGGTGTTGTTGTTATTCTTTTGCCATAATCAGAAAGGGCTCCGTGTGTGGGCAGTGTAGTGGGGAGGAGGAGAAGTCGAGTTCGTCCTATTCAGCCCCCCCCACAACCCCAACCCCAACCCACCCACCCCTCTCTTATTTGCATGACTTGAGCAAATTAAATGATGCAATATGGCTTTTTTGTCGCAACACAAAGTAAGATACCACCCAGCCACTGAATGATTCGGAGAGTGGTTTACATGAGAATGGCCCGGTGAGGATCCAACGGAATCCGCCACAACTTTGGCGCATACAG